CCCAAGAGGAGCTGGAAGAGGAGCTAGGAGTTCCTGGACAAGAGAGCTAGGGTTATACACGTGGAAACTGTGAGTGGGACTCCCTCCTCATGAAAAAAGGGAACTGAACATTCTTCCCCAACAATATATACTGGGGAGGAGCCCCTTATAATCCTTGGGCACTCTGGATAAGATTATGTGTTTAGTTGCCTGTTTCCCCCACTAGACCTTCAGTCCCACAAATTCATGAAGAATCATTGCTGCTTTGCTCACTAGTTACCTCCGGGCACTTATCACACGCATACACACCAAAAGAACTGACCAATTAATGACACATTTTTCTGTTCATCCCAGAGGAAATCTTCTATTTGCTAACATTGAGATGAACAAGTTACTTGAATAAGGACCACTTACAGAGTTATAATGCCTAGGAGTCTTCAAATAGGTTGGCAAAAAAAAAAAAAAAAAATCTAAGACCTTTAAAAGCCTGTAGAAAGACCATAGATAATCTTATTTTATGGGAAATGTATTGAGTCTTAGGTTGGTTATGCTCACAATTTGTGGCTGAAGCAAAGGACAAAGCAGAAAAAGTGGGGCGAGAAGGTGGGGGAGATAATACAGGAAAAAAGGATCGATGCCTGAAAGGCATAAAATACAGAGCAGAGATTACAGAAGCTCTCAACTCAATTACTTTTTAAATAAGTTAAAAATTGTTAGCGTAGAGACTATTTCTATTCGACAACTCACAAAAATTAATTAATTAATTAGCTAAAAAATTTCCAAGTTACATGTCCTCAGTTCTCCAGGAGATACAGAATAGCTTTAAAAACAGCAGGTCAATCTGTAGGAAGTAATAACAAGTGTTGGCAAAGATGCGGTCAAACTGGAACTCTCACACAGTGCAGGTGGGAATGTAAAATGGTGTAGCCAGTTCCTCAAAAGTTAAGCATTATGTTACCATATGTCCCAGAAATTCCACTCTTAGGTCTATATCCATGAGAACTGAAAATACATTTCCATGCAAAAACTTTTACGTGAATGAAGTTTACAGTAGCATTATTCATAATAGCTAAAGACTGGCAACAACCCAAACATCCACCAACGATGAATGGATAAACAAAATGTGGTATGTCCATACAGTGGAGTATTATCCAACCACAAAGGAAGTGAAGTACTGATATATACTACAACATGGATAAACTAAAAAGATGATGCTAAGTGAAAGAGGCCAGTCACAAAGGACCCTATATCATATGATTCCATTTCATGAAATGCCCAGAATAGGCAAATTCACAGAAATGGAAGCAGATGAGGTAGCCAGGGGATGGCTGAGTTGGGGAGAAATGAGAAGTGACAGTTAATGATAAGGGAGCTGCTTTTGGATGTCATGAAAATGTTCTAAAATTTATTGCGGTAATTGTTGTACAACTTTGTGAATATACTAACAGCCACTGAGTTATACGCTATAAATAGGTGAATTATATAGTCTGTAAATTAGATCTCAATAAAGCTGTTACTTAAAAAAAAAAAAAGATAAGCAGGCTTTTGGACTGGGACCTCCAGGAACCACTACATCCTGAAATTGGAATGAGTCTGCCTCCACTGCCTGTAGCAGGTGATCCTCGTAGCCCACCTTCTATACACATTCCCATGGCTGACCTCCCATTCAGCTTTATTTATGAGATGATAAGGTTGCAGTAAGCAATTCTGCAAGCAACCTATTCAGTACCACTTTTAAAAACATTAAATGCGTCATCAGAAGAGGCAAAGGAAACCAGCTTACAACAACCGGCTGTGATGATATGCTTTCCAACAGATACAGAGGTTAAATGCCCTGCAAGTTAGGACCCACACTGGCTCACTCACAGCAGGCAGATTAGCTTTCAAGAAAAGGAAAAACCTGGCATATCTGCTTAGGGTGTTGTGCCCCGGAAACACCTGAATTACTTTCCATCCCTCTCACTGCACTAGGATGTGAGGTGTAAAGCACCTAATAGGAGCCAGCCTTTTAAAAGACATTATCTTCTTTACGCTAACCCTATCTGAGATAGGGTACTATCCCCATTTTATAGACAAGGCAATAAACTTAAATTCCAACAGAAACCATCTTAAAGGAAGTCACCACAGGTTGCAGAGTGGTCTGACCCCACAGGCCATGCGGTACCCCCTTCCCCACGTGGCCTCCCTTTCCTGTGCACAGGCAGAGGCAGAAGTGCTTCTGTGAACACACAAGAGAACCCAGGGCAGAATCTTCCAGTGGCTTTGAACCCACCTCTCTTGCCCCAGGACACCGCTGGCCATTGGATGGATTTGTGGTCTAAGTCCCTGAAGTCAGGAGTAGACAGAAATCCATCCGTCACTCACCAGGACAGATACAAACCTCAACATAATTTGTTTTCCAATGGTTTCAGCTTAAAGTTCTGGTTTGGCATTGGCTTTTTAACAGCTAACAGCTGTAGGCAATTTTCACACAGAATAAAGACATCAATAAGGCAGAGAGTGGAATTTTCTCCCTTATGAATACAGAACAATGAGCTGTCTTCAAGATGTACATGGAGCTGCCACCACATGGGCTCTGGCTTAGGTCTCATTTTGAGAGTCTGATGGAATACAATTGAAAAGACAGTGGATGTGGGTGCTTTGAGGGTACTAGCTCTGCCCACCAGCTCCGTTACCACCATGAAAGCCTTCATCTATCAGCGACATCTATCTCCTTAGGTTGACTTTTGGTTTTAAAATACTTTTAAGTGGGAAATAAAACCAAGCCCGTGAATACATCATTATTGCCCTTCTCGATAGCCATCATGGTAGATGATTCACTGTCTCTCCCTGGAAGAGGATTATGTGTCCTCCACCCCCCACCCCCCAGTGACCTCAGGACTGTCCATGCAATTTGCGGTGCCAACCTCTACAGAAGAATGATCCATCCTTACCCTGTGAACTCAGGAGTGGCCATGTGATTTTCAATGGCCAAAGAAATGTGGGCAGAAGTGACATGTATCATTTCCAAGCATGAGCTTAGAGCCTGCTAGTAGTTTACCATGTCTCTCCTTCCTCTTCCACCAGGCTTGGGTCTTGGATGGAAGATGGTGAGGAACAGAATCACAGCTAGCCATGTAGCATTAACAAGTGCTAAGCCACTGCCATTTGTAACCACTGAGGTTTTGCTATCACAGGATGAACTAGCTTAAGATGATTGAGACAGCCGTTAACACAGACCCCCTCCACTTCTCTTCTCACCTTCAATCGCTCCTCACAGCTCACCTCCTCCAGAAAGTCTTCTGTGACTAACCTCCTCATCACCATGTCCTACACCTCACAACACACCTATACACAATCTATGCAGAGGTGGGTTGTGCTTCTTCCTTTAGTGCTGTTATACCTGTATCAGTCCCCTTTTGCTCCTGAAACTATCAGCTATTTAGGAGCAGGTTCTAGTTTTCCATTTTGAACCTCCCGATTAACACCTAGAACAGGTTTCTGCATGCAGAGGTGGGAGAGGAGAGAGATTTCTTTTTTTTTTTTTTTAAGATTTTATTTATTTATTTCACAGAGAGAGACACAGCAAGAGAGGGAACACAAGCAGGGGCGGGTGGGAGGGAGAAGCAGGCTTCCCACTGAGCAGGGAGCCCGATGCAGGGCTCGATCCCAGAACCCTGGGATCATGACCTGAGCCAAAGGCAGACACTTAATGACTGAGCCACCCAGGCGCCTGAGGAGATTTCTTAAACACTGAAAATATTCATCAACATCATAAAATACAAACATGCTGCCAAGAGCCATCTCTTCCTTTTCCCAACCAATTTTGTTTGGTAACAGGCCCGTTAATCCACTCAGGAGACCAGAACTCAAACATCAGCTTCATAGTACCCTCTCATACTGGCTTATCTCATATGATAAACTTATAGGTAAATTCTGGTCTAGAAGAGCTGGACTGATCTGATTAGTTCAGATATTACCCCTGGAGGGCAGTAACAAAACCTATGTTACTTTCTTGACCTAAGAGTCATGCAAAATGATAGCACTTTCTAATATCTGTTGAACAATATAAATGGTCCGATTAGAACTAACTCCATTACAAAATGCCAGTGGTGATAAAGGGAGGATAGAGTACTCACGTAACATTTATTGACCACCTAATGAGGGTCAGGCATTGGGCCATTCCCACTATGTAAATTCTTCTTAGACACTACATCAAACTAGGAGGAGGCATTATTTTTTTCTCACTTTCCAGAAAACAGGCTTATAGGCTTTTTCCATACTTACACAGATAATAAAGTCAGAACAGTAATTCAAACCAACGTCTTCCTAATCCCCATGCCACTACCCTTTAAACTATGCCATAATATCCCCAAAAAGACAGAATGGAAAGAAACATTACTTCAGAAGTGCCTGAAAAGCTAAGCTAAAGAAAGCACTTACATCTTTTGATGAATGAGTCCTATACCAGATACATCTCTCACTTCAGTATAGTGGATTCTAAAATATGATAGGATCTATAAAAAGTTTCCCACAACAGTTATTACTGCAATCCTATCATTAGGATAAATAATTATACTGTACTTAAGTAATAATGTCCTTCATCAAAGGATCCAGGACAGGAGGAGGAGTATGACTAATTTTTAAAAAGATATTAATACTATACACTGAGAGTAGGGGTGGAGAAAGCATTAGGGAATTGTGGAAGGTGTGAAGCAGATGAGGGAATTATTTATGCACACAATATAGACTCAGACTGGAATGGGGAAGAATAGAAAGAGCAACTTAGGATGCCGTTCTCTCACATATTTGAAGACCTAAGGGTCTAAATCCCTCCACTTAAAGCAAAGCCCTTCAGTGTGGTAATGCTACCCTCTTCTTTCTCTTCCTCCAGAGGCTCAGTGTTCACAGTTGGGGTGCCAATATAAAGGGGTCATTTCACTGAAAAATGGCCAAGCCCAGGGCTAACCAAACCAAACCATGCACATCCTCTCCCCCATTCTGGCTCTCAACCACCGCCAGGAAGGAAGTTGGGGACTCACCACAAGTTCACTGAACATGACATCCAGCTCCTCCACAGGGGGCATGGGTAATGCTGGCTCCATGGTCTGAAGCGCAAAGTTGCTATCGTTTCGCAGCCGATAGGTGATTTCTGGGTGATCATTATTTCGGAAACAGCAGAAGATGAACGAGATCCCCCGTCCACCTCTCTTCCTTGGGGCCATGGCTGAATTCTGTTCTATTTCTTGAAGTGACTAAACTCTGTAAAAAAGAAGACAGGACATGGTTAAGGAAGAAAAAAATGGGTAAGTTTTTTTGTTGTTGTTTTTGTTTGTTTTGTTTTTTAAGTCAGACTAATTCAAGCAGAGACCTCTTCACTGGAGACGGTTGATATGCCCCTGTAGGGCACAGAGAGGACAACCCCAAGCGGATTCGGAGTCCAGCTGGGCAAAGAGGACATCCTTCTATTCACTTGTTGAATGTTTCCCGTGACCAACTGCTGAGCAAACAGTACAACCCTACCCCTACATGACACAGCATATGCCCTCAATTGCATTGGGCTACTGGCCATTCTTGGCCTATCACATGCTCTTTCTTGCCAACCTGTCTTGTTCTTTAACTCCCCTGCAAGAATGACCTTCTCTTCCTCACCCCCTAGGAATCTAGGATCTCTTACCCTTTAAAGTTTGATATCAATTTCTTCTTTTCTACCTTCCCAAAGTAGAATTAATGATACTTATGCTGAGGCATATCTATTCATTCCAGCTCATATCACATTCTAAGTTCCTCAAGAGAGTACATTCCTGTTAGACCATGATTAACTCCAAGTCAAGGGAAGGAACTGTACATCAAGCAAATTGTTGGCACTCATGCCTTGTACAGTGCCAGGAAGGAAGGAGGCACTCAGTTACTGTTTATCATGTTGAATAATTTAAATTCATAACAAAGGGAGAATGACTTCACATGAACTAGAAGAAACAGAGATTTTCAAACAGAAAAGATCAAATGAGTTCACCAATAAGGACATGGTTATAGTATATTCACATAATAGAACACTGTGCACTCATTTAAAAACAAGGCATCTGTATATGTAGATATGGAAACATGTTCAAAATGCTGTATGATATATATACTACAAGATTACTTTTTAAAGAATGTATATATGTACTTATGAATATACATAAGAAAGGGCTAATAATAGCAGTAGCCTGTAAAATAAAAATAGGGGACTGGAGAACTATTCCTTTTCATTTTGTACACTTTTGAATTTGAATTTATACCACAAAATTACATTAATGATTATATAGTTTAAGATTACAATTATATGTATTGCCTTGGGAAAATTCCCATTATACGGTCAAGTGAAAAAAGCAAATCAAAGAATGAATGATGTGTACAACATGATGCCATATGGCTTTTTAAAAACAATCTCATACAATGACACAAACTCTGGTAAAATTTCTCATAAATAACTAGGATTTGCAAACACTTCTAGAGTCAAGATCCTGCTCACTTAAGGGATTGTGGTCTCAGGAAGCTGGCAATTAGGATGGGAAGGGGAGGGAAATGTTAAGAGCAGCATGTCCCTCATGTATCCCTACGTGATGATCCAACTGGCTCTGGAATAAAAACTTAGCTGAGACATCCAATATCCCAATCTGCTGAAGCATACATCTCCTGGCCTAAAGTGTACTTGTGCAAGGCCATAGGAGGCAATATGCAGTACCTGGGATTCCTTTGGCAAATGTGTGTTAATACCTATTATATACCAGGCACTATAAGCACCTAAAGATACATAAATGAAATGGGTCACTAGGAGCTTATAATCTGGTTGAGAGAGTAGTGCACCAAATAGTTGTAACAAAGGTCATATGGCATATCATACCAAACATAAAGTCCACTGGGAAGAATCTGGGAATGGTACCTGATGGGTGAGTGGAGCTTTGATAGATTATGGAAAGCAGAGCATTTTGGAACAGTGCAAACAAAGGCACGAGGTGGGAAGGGGCACGGCATATACAGGGAATGAGAGGTACTGTGGCACAGATTGTGCTGTAGAAGCCCATCTTCCAATCTCAAAGCCTTGGGGATCTCATCTTCCTGACCCAAACCCACCAAATCTCCCCAGTACCAATCTGATTGGCTTCTGTGCTCCACCAAATCAGATCCATTTCAACTTCTCTGTCTTTTCTATTTCCTTAAAAGTATCTTCCACTTTAGCCAACAGACCATTTTCCAAGCCCCATAAACATCCACCCAAGTCGTCTGCTCATTCCTTCTGCCTTTATCTTTGTCAACACGCTCCCCAATCCTGACAGCCCTGGTGAGCCCGTCCACTGCTGGTGATAACTGAAATTTGGTTCAACATTTCTGACAGGCAATCCATCAAACCCCTGAAATAGTCATACTGCTGACCTAGTATTTCTACTTCTAGAAATATATCCCAATGAAATAGTCAGAGATACTATCAAAGATGTTGTCACAAAAATTTTCAAAGCCCTAGCTATTATAATAAATGAGGGCATAAAATAAGTGCTAATAATAAAGGACTATATGAAAAGGATAATCATGGTACAACTAGATGACAGACCACCAAGCAGTTATCTGTAAAATAATATTTAAAGACATGCAAATTTTTAGGATATGTAAAATAAAGGATATACAATGTTCCATTTATGTAAGAAGAAGTGTACATATATGAGCAGGCAAAAAAAACAAGAGAAATGCACCAAAATGTGAGCCAACAGTTAGCTTGTGTCAAATGTATGGCTTACTTTTTTAAAAAAACGAAAAACTTTTCTGTACTTTCCAAGTTGTTGTCACAATGAAGACATACTAGTTTCACAATAAAATGGAGATTTAAAAAAAAAAAAAACACTCTAGACTGTTGATATGACTGTTGATGGAAGGAGGGGAATGTGTATGCAAAAATGTTCTTTTCAAAAATATCCAAGTTATGGGGCGCCTGGGTGGCTCAGATGGTTAAGCGTCTGCCTTCGGCTCAGGTCATGATCCCAGAGTCCTGGGATCGAGTCCCGCATCGGGCTCCCTGCTCCTTGGGAGCCTGCTTCTCCCTCTGCCTCTGTCTCTCATGAATAAATAAATAAAAATCTTTTTGAAAAAAAAAAAATATCCAAGTTATGGTGATCTATACACCAGCTTCTCAAACTACATGAGGCAAAGGACTAGCTGCTTTCCCTCCAGTCTGTTAGAAACATTTTTTTGTAAACTATAGTGCAAATATCTCAGCAATGTCAAATTGCCATAAGAATTTCTCTTAAGCGTGCAATTCTTGTATTCGTTGTTAACCAACATGGGTAGGCAGCAATAGCACTGATGTACACCAGGAGTTAAGATGGGAGTTAAGACTTAGCTCATTAAAATATAAACTGGTAATGTCTGTCTCCAATGTATGTCGTCAGGGCAGGAGCCATATCCCCCTTGGCAGCCAGGCCAGAGTCCTGCACACCCTGTCACTCAACTGTCAGTAAACTGAAGAGAGACTGTTCAGGGACTACTGTTAAGGTCTGCATGACTAAACGCCTCTCTATAGGGGGAAGGAGATAGTGTTCAGGCTACTGGAAGATGAGGGCAAAAGAAAAACCCAAAGTAGGCAAGAGCTAGCCCATGGAGGGTCATAGGGCCCATGCTCAGCTTTCAAGTACATTTCCAGGCAGTCTTCCTAACCTACCCGGTTGAATGTGGTCCATTTTGTGACCCCTATGAGGCACAGCCAACAGTTACAGTAATTTGTGGTTTGGGTTTTACTTCCCCTATTAAAGAGTCAGCTCCTAAGGGAAAGTGCCTAAGGCATGTATCAGTGCCTCACACACAGAGGAGTATGACCAAAGTATTTGGGAAACAAATAGAGAACAACTTTACTTTTGTACTTTATGGGTTGTTTCACTTAAACCCAAGCTTTATTATATTCTGGCTCTATTGAGGTGGGGTGCTCAGGAAACACTGAGATCTAAAAACCAGTCCAGAGCATTTCTTAAGTCTTTTTTTTTAAAAAGCCAGCAGTTCTATAAACAAAAAAATATGAGGGTCTTGGCTAGTTTCTAAGATGGGTAATAAGATATAGAGCCTATTACATTTAAGAACCTAATTGAAATAATTTTTAATAAGGACCAAAATATTGCCTTTGACAGGTAATTTGTGTTTAAAAGCCTCAGTAAAGCCCAAAGGCCAAGTTTTTATGCTGGCTCTTCTGTGTAACCCCAAATACAAGGTCCTCCATTAAACCCATCTTTAAACTGTAGATGATGGCAAAGCTTTGAGATTTCCAACAGGCTGCCATTTTTAATACACATTATTTGGAATTCTACTGTTCAGAGCCTAGTCTCCCAGATACAGACCAAAATGGAAGCAAAAAAATCATCCCATGACCCCTCAGTGGCAGTAGACACTCTGGCCAACCCTCCTTAACTGCTCTAGCACATCACAAATGAGTAATCCCAACAGCTGCCTGTGTGTGTATGTGATTTTACTAAGCATATTCACACCCATCGCTTCATTCCATCATCCTCATTTCACATGTTGGACCTGCGGAGGGACTTGGGAGGGAGTGGGGCAGTTAGGAAGAGAGAAGTTAGAGACTTGCTTTGCTGGGAAACATCAGGAGATGTTGATTGGAGAAGCCTAATTGGTTGGGAATGGGGCAGGGAAGCTTGACAGAGGTCAGGGAACCTGCATGCTTAATCCAACTGGAATCCAATCCCCACCCTCTCCAACCTCCAGGCCATGACCTTGGTTCAGCCTCCCCTTATCTCTCACCAAAATGACTACAATAGTTTTTCAATTCTTCTCCTTGGCCCATGATTCCCCAGTCTAGGGGTTGACAAACCTCTTCTATAAAGGGCCAAATAGTAAGTATTTTAGGCTTTGTGCGCCCTTAAGCCTCTATCACAACTAGTTAACCCTGCCATTTTATTATGAAAGCAACCACAGGCATCTGTAAAAAGTGGGCATGCTTATGTGCCAATAAAACTTTATTGTGGACACTGAAATTTAAATTTTTTTTTAAAGATTTTATTTATCTATTTGACACAGAGAGAGACAGTGAGAGAGGGAACACAAGCAGGAGGAGTGGGAGAGGGAGAAGCAGGCTCCCAGCTGAGCAGGGAACCCTGCCAGGACCCTGGGATCATGACCTGAGCCGAAGGCAGATGCCTAACGACTGAGCCACCCAGGCGCCCCGAAATTTGAACTTCATATAACTTTCTGTCACAAAATATTTTTTTGTTTTATAGACCATACAA